TTTCCACTGCAAAGGGAGTGTAATGGAGGCGAGAGTCCCGGCCTTTCTTTGTAAGTGATATGTGGCAATTGGTTCTTCAGAGACAGCGACTCAGAAGCGCAAATTCCTTTCACTGCCGCTCACCTCCACTTACACTGCCCGTGCCTAATTCTCTCAGCTTCGTAACAAGATGTTTTTTGCTGCATCTCTAACTCCCAGTGCCCACCTCATTATTCTACCATTTCAGTGCACACTTAAGATGTTTTAGGTTAATTATAGATGTGCAGCAGTACATGAGTGAGTGAGAGAAAGAGACGCAGAGATGATAACAGCCTGCAACTATGTGAAGGGTTTAAATGCTGAGAAGACATGGAATGTATTAGGTATGAAACATGAGCTATTACGAGCGTGAATGAGACATAAATAAGAAAGGGAAATACCCAGCGAATTGTCTGAAGAAATTTGCCTGGCAGTGTGATTATTTAATTGGGAGACTCTCCTCTGGCAGAGCAAATGACGGATTTCTCACTTGGGAGGTTCAAAATCTGATTGCAAAAGTGTAACAGAGCTCTTCATAGCGAACAACTTCAGGTTGCTGGTGACTGAAGAATTGTCTTTTCTGGCTTCTCTTTGTATGTCTGTATACACATAGAGACATATTCATAACTACACAGACGTAGATAACCACCTATGACTCCATCGTGACAGTCATTCATTCATGACAGTGATATTCATCATATCTTTTATGTTTGGCATTCTCATCAGGACTCCCACCCATCAATAAGACTCTGCTGCGATGCTTCTTATATTTCTGAAGTGCATATAGCTCCAAACAGCTGTCATGGGACAAAAGAAAGCCTGTCAGAGTGTCATTTGCTTCTTATTCTTGAAAAAGTAAAATTTCTTCCAAAGATGATGCTGGCCTGAGGCTTAAGAGAGGTAACATTTGGTTCTGTGCTAGGACAGATTTTAGATGTCATCATCCATCGGATTTAGAAATAGCAGATTTTAAGTGAGAAATCATCTGCTGTAAAACCTGCTAGGTATAGAGTACATGCAATGGCTTGGTGTTTTTGAAAAGTTTATTGATTTTATTGGAACATGTACAGATAACAAAAGAATAATCTGAAAGACTGAAAGAAAATGTACAGAGACCCTACACATTTTCAATTTCTGAATGCAGTGTTAACTACTGTAAATAATCTGTTTCATTCAAAAGGTGAATAGCAGTTGTGAGGATTTCTGGGCATCAAAATCGTGGTGTGATTTTTTTGTTCACATTTTTGTCATGCAGAGGTAAGAACCCATGTTCTGATTTTGGCTGCAGTCACAGCAGTGTGTTGTTGGTTGAATAACACATCCGGTTTTGCCTGTGTGCATGTCTCATATATGTATATATTATTTTGCTACCCCATTAGTATTGTGTACACATTGAGGCTTCATGCTCCTCTGTATTCAGGCTGTTTTAGGGTACAAGCAGATCATGTCGACTGCAGACCTGTCTGCTCTCCCAGTACCCCCTACTGCCAGTGCTTCCTTTGTCTCTGGGGTCACTCCTGATAGCGAAGTCCTGAGAGACGTGCACAGCATGTGGGGACCCTGGTCAGTCAGACGCTAGAGTATTTTTCCTGTAGATGACATTGCATAACATACTTCAGTAGGGTTTCACTTCTTTGTTTGCTTGTTTGGTTTATTTGAGGCTGTAGTATCACTTCATTGCAGAAAGCAGAATGGTTTTGGCCAAATGAATAACTTTAACTGGGTATTTTTCAAATGGCTTCGAGGAAGCAGATGCGAATTTGGGTTTAAGTATGTTGTGTGGTGCCCTTTTCATTTGACCTTGCAATATACATGGAAAGAGGAGGGGAAATTGATGAGCTCTCAAGTGCATCAGGATCCTAGATGTGGGTCCTACTGGATTATAAATAGAGAACAGAGCAAAAAAATCCAAAATTTAGTTGTAAAGTAAAAAAGAAAATACAGACTGTTTTGTGCAGATTTTGCAGCGAGAGCTGGCTCTGTCTCAGTTTCAGCTGAGTCTGTCTCCCCAGCAGAAGGGAATGCAGGATGTGACAGGGAGGGTTTGATTGGGGAGGAATTCAATGCAGCTATCAGCAGCGGGCTTCTATGTAAATACTGTAACACCTCTGAACCGAGGAACAGCTGAGATAACACTGTAAACTAATCTCTAGTGCCGGAGAAGCTGGCCAACCCCTCACGTTATATGGTTTCTGTAGAAAAGATGTGCTAGGGAAAAAAAGAAGCAGATTTAAATTCTATATGACAACTTACCATGGAGTAAAATATGCTGACTTTTTAAAATTGAAGGCAGCATATGGTAAAGTATTTTTTCTTTGAAATGGTACTCTGTGCCAGGGTGTATATGCTTGTACATCCTTGCATACATATGAATTCTTATATAAATAGGCACTGCTATCACCAAAATATTTTTAACTCTCTGTTACTTGTGCCTGATTGATTTAGATAAATATATAGTCACTTGGGGTCTTATCCCACCAGTATTTATTTTGGTTGATTTTTCATCAACGTCAGGAAAACTAATAGCCAAGTTTTGTCCAGAGCAGGAGCACTGAAGCAGTCTTTCCCTGCTTTGAGCTTTTGAGATCACTGTATTTCACAGTCGTACACCTTCCTTTCTTACATAGCTATGAAAAAAAAGTAATATATACACAGATACATACATACATATATAATATATATGTGCATATATATTTATACGTACACATATATGAAATATACGTACACACACCTTTATACACAAATAGTGTCTCACCTGAAAAAGTTTGTCTCTTCTCGAGGTTTTTAAAGAAAAGCAGGAGCTATCAATGGCCAACAAGTTTGTTGCTACGTCTCCTTCAGAGTCGTGCTCATAACTGGGCACAACCCCAAGATAAACTGGGGTTGGGGTGGAGCTAACCACCTCATTAATTGTGCTGGAAACGAGGAAACTAACTCCACTATCTCCCATTTCAGAAGAAATTAAGGTCCAAGCGTCTCTGACGCCCCCTTTGGATCCAGTTTAGAAATGAGTAGTCGGCAGTTTCCATCTGGTTCTCGCACCCTTTGTCAGAGCCAAACCACAGTTCGAGGATAGCTCTTACACCAAAGCTCCCAAACTGCAGGTTGGGTTGCGTTCACAAGCTCTTTCCTTCCACCTCATTTAAGATGCATATCACCATGTGATGGCTGTCAACCCCTGTACGCCATCTAATAAACTGGAACTGCATTTAAGCAGTTGACCCAATTTGCTGAGCATTCCCCTCTTGACTTTTATATCCCACCTTTCTCTTCTGTCCCAAACCTCAATTCTTTTTTTCCCTGTGTTGTCTTGCAGAGGCAGACATTGGGCAGTTTATCAGCTGAGCTCCCAAAGGACAGTGTACTCTGTGTTACAATGCAGTTCCTCTGGGATACACGTTGACAATCTTTGCCTTCACATACCAGGCCAAACCCACTCAAGGGATGCCTCTCCAGTCTTTCTATTTTTAACCAAAAAAAAAAAAAAATCCTGAAGATACATGGATTTTCTAGGTTCCATCGCTGGAACATATTATCAATGTGGATGTTTCAACAACTGAGCAGGAAAACAACTGTCACATTACATTAATACCATAGCTGGTTTTTGTCCAAGCTATTCCCATCTCTCATCCTCCGCCCTATGCATATCACTATGCGTTGCTGATCGGTTCGCATTAAAAGAGCAAAAATGGGGAGTTTAAGTATATGCATATTAATGTAAACGAGCAGGTCCCATTTTGTGCTACAGATGTCAGCCAAAAGCAGAGCAAAGCCCGATTTTTGCTGCATGTGCTCATCAAAGTTTAAAAGAAATTGAGTGTGCACTGCTCCGTCCTAAGGCAATACAGGCAGCAGATGCTGCCTCCATGCAGTAGAAGAGCCTCAGTTGTTGGCACCGAAGTAACCTCACGGGTCGTCGATTAAATTGGAGCTCGACTGGCTTTTTTTGTTGTTGTTGTTTTCAGTGGAAAAATGAAAAGCCGGGGCAGAAAACGCCCGTGCAGCTTCCCCCGCACCCTCCGCCCAGCCCGAGCATCTCCGGCTTCAGGCTCCAGCGGGGCCGGCACCGGGCGGCTGTCCGCACCCCGG